AAATCTAAGTGGCCATGTACCTTCACATCATCACTGAGATGAGTTAGACCGTGTATGTTGTACACTAAAAAAACCGTTACCATAGAGTTCACCAAAATGCTTAACAAATGATCTAAGCAATGTGTTTGCAAAGTCATTTAACAGCAAACAATATGTTGGACTTGCCAAGATATATATGCCCACAGACAACAACATAAAATTTTGGTAAACCTCAGTAGTCAGCACATCCCTCAAAACTACTGGACCAGTGTAAAGTAAGAACTGCCTAAGTTCTGTTGCTTTCCATCGTAACCTTTCATCAAGTGCCCTTGGTCTTCTAGCAAATTCAGAGGGTATGTAACTCTTGAGAGCCAAGCAGTTTGCCAGAAATGATAGAACACTTGCCTGGATGAAATACGGTAACTCAACAATCTTGCCGCGAGTTCCCATCCACAAATCAAGCAGACGACGCACCACGCCTAAGCACACTAAATGCATATAGTCATGTGGGAAATCCACCATGGGAACAGATGTTTCACCAAATGGGGAATGTTGTACATGGTGGTCTTCATCCTCTGCATTTGAAAAAGAACATCAGTTCTTACCCTAGAATTAAGTTCTGGGAATGTCATGCGATTATTAATGTAAAATGCCAGACTGTACACACTTGTCCGCAGCCACTGTATCCATTGTGTGACTAATACCCTTATAATAAGCCCTGGCAGGAGCATCACAGATTACTGAGCAAAACATTCAAGAAGAAGGTCTTTCCATTAACAACAAAACCAGTGCTCAAGGATTTCAACTCGCAGACCAGATCCTTCAGATATTCTGACAATGACTGAGGGTTTCGAATTCCCACAGTAAAGAGCAATCAGTACAGGTTTCCTAGTGTAATCCTGCAGCATTCCTAAAATTGGCCAGAAACTGTACACCTGAACTTTTAAAAATTGGAAAGACCATCCATGTTTAACTGTAATTTGAAGCTGTGAAGATTCCGGACAACTAATGTAAGCTTTTGAAATATGTGGCTGAACATTTTCTGTATACCGAAGTAATGGAATGATCCACTCGCCAAGGAAACAACACTATAATGAGTCTGTGTTTTTGAGCAATGTTCTTTGCATCTTTTGGCAAAGATGGGTGATGGACTTTCAGTATCGACAAAAGGGCAGACAAAGCAATCAGTGAAATGTGAAAATGTGTTGCCCAGTCTCTCAACATCCACTAAATCTTTAGTAATATCAAGGCTATCCTCGTCACTTGCTGATTCACTTTCCCCATCACTTTCTGATCCACAGATAGGTGGCAAAACAAAGCTTGAAGTAACTACTTCATTTTCAACGCCATGCTCTTCATTAGTACAATCCATACTATCCTCATCATCATTCAAAGATTCTATAAACTGGGTGACTCTTTTAACAGCCCTTTTTCTTAAATTGCTGCGAGTGATATTCCACTTTTCTCTTTCCATGACACAGTAATTACACCTACAATTACACGAAGTGCAGTCATTAACGAGGTGCGCTGGAAAAAACAAACAAACAAACAAATAAACAAAAAAACATTCTTTACATTGATACTTTTTTTGTACCACATGAAATGTATCAGCAGCTTACCTTAATGGTGACAGCGAATTCTAAACTGTAGGCTTTTAATCCCACCAGCAATTTTCTGTAGCAAATCACATTGACATGTTATTAAGGTGAAAAAGCATCCTGACTCAAAAAAAAAAAAAAAAAAAAAAAAAACAAAGCAGAAAATTCATTTTAAAATGACTAGGGTATACTAAAAAATGTGAAATACAAAGTAATAATACCTGAACCAACTTGCTCAATAATATCTATTAGGCTATTGTTACTTTGTAATCATCTCATAAAAGCTTTTATTGTAATAAAAAAGCATGTAGTAATTTGTGCTTTCACAAAGTAATACAACTATAGTGCAGTATTACTGTATGCCCAATGTACATGAATAAAATATTACACTGGGCTTTTATACATTTTTCATTGTTGTGCCAAAAAAAGCAAGAGTTAAATACTTTCATCGTGCAGAGTTGACTGAAGATTGGCAAAATCGAAGCACACACTACCGGTCAAAAGTTTTAGATCAGTTAGATTTTTTTATGTTTTAAAATGAAGTCTCTTCTGCTCACCAAGGCTGCTTTATTTGATGGGGAAAAAAAATGACAAACAGTAATATTGTGAAATGTAATGACAACTTAAAATGTTTTCTATTTTAATATATATTAAAATGTAATTTGAAAGCTGAATTTTCAACATCATTACTGTCGCTGATTACAGATCAGTTTTCAGTGTCACATCACATGATCCTTCACATGAGAAATCATTCTAATATGCTGATTTTATGCTCAAAAAACATAATTTTCAATGTTGAAAACAGTCGTGTACCATTTTCCCCCAAACTACTAAGATGAATAGAAAGTTCAAAAGAACAGCATTTATTTAAAATATAATCATTTCTAACATTAGAAATGTCTTTACTGTAACTTTGATCAATTTAACGCATCCTTGATGAATAATAGTATTTTCTAATTTCTTTCCCCCAAAAAATAAAAAATAAATTCTTACTGACCCCAAACTTTTGAATGGTAGTGATTAATGTTACAAAAGCTTTCCATTTTAGATCAATTCTGTTCTTTTGAACTTTCTATTCATCAAAGAATCCTGAAATAAAAATGTAAAAAACTGTTTTCAACATAGATAATAATCATAAGTGTTTCTTGAGCATCATATTTATAATAATTTCTGTAGGATCATGTGATACTGAAGACTGGAGTAGCAGACTGCTAATGATGCTAAAGACTGCTAATGATGCTGTAAATTCAGCTTCGATCACGGTAATAAATTACACTTCACTATATATTCACATAGAAAACCGCTGTTTTTAATTGTAATAATATTTCACAATATTACTGGTGTTTTTTTTTTTTTTTTTTTTTTTTTAATCAAATAATTGCAGCCTTGGTGAGCAGAAAAGACTTCTTTTAAAAACATAAAAAATCTTACCGATCTAAAACTTTTGACCGGTAGTGTACATTAGCAAATGTAAATACTTTTGGCTCCCTATTCAATCGATACTTATTCATTTCGCATTCGAGAACCATAATAGTTCTAGCTAGAGTTACTGCCAAAATGATCTTACTTCAAATATAGAAGTTATTCCATTAACTCATACAAAAATGGGTATAACGAAGCAATC